CGAGACTTAATGGCTGCTTGTTTTTTTTGTTTTTTTTTTTCTCTAAAGAGTTATGCGGCCATGATATTCCTTTGATGGCAAAAACGAGGAGCAGCCATGGGTTCATGCCGCCATGTATAAAAAAAAAAAAACAAAGTTGATCTTGTGTTCTGCGGCCATGAAAATCAAAGTTGATCTAATATTCTGCGGCCATGATTTTTTTTTAATTAAATAATCCGAAAATAAAAACTTTAATTCTAGATCAAAGATTCATGCACAAACTGTGCTCTGATACCACTGTTGGATAATTTGATGATCTAGGCATGAAAATTGAACTAGAAAATAACAGATTAAATTACCGTTCACCGTCGAAACAATGGAAGTCTTCTCCTCTCTCCTCCCGTAGCCAATGATGGGAATTAGGTCTCTTTACTGCGTACGTTTGAGAGGAGGGACTCCCACCCTTTATATAGATATTTGTGATTAACCCTACCCATCATGGTTTAATCACAACCGTGGGATTACACTCCAGTTGATCCTATCCTTTAGATATTCAAGATAACCACCCAACTTGATAAACATGAAACTTATCTAACCAGACCATGTGGTTAGCATCCTGATCCTAACTTGAATCCATGGCAACTTTAAATCAAATCCAAAATCGAGTAGGTTGGGCCACATGGGTTCGTTGGATTAATCGAACCCAACACGCAAATCTCTTATTATGTCGTTTATTTAGGTCCCATGAATATTGGTAAAATCTAAATCAGCTTAAGCACATAAATCGAGAGTTCTTTATCAATTTATTTTATCATTTTACAGTCCATATTTAAAAAATTTAACATTAAATAAGTATATCCATGGCGACACAAGTGCACTTTACTAGTTAGCAAAAAAGAAATAAATAAATAAAAGCTTTAGGTTTGTAACGTTTGTTGAACTACCACAACACAAGTTGGAGTGTCATGATCAATATTATAAAGCGAATGACAGTAGATTCATGGTGGAGTTACGTCATTATTCGTGAATAGAGAAAAAAAGGGCAAAAGAAAAAGGATTTGGATTTTAATTCATTGTTTGGTATTGTACGGGATTGGAATAATTATACGTCTAAGGGGTATTAACAGTATTAAATAAAAACAAAGAAAAAAATAGAAACTTATTTGCCGTTAAGGTGATTGTCTATAGTCTGCTATTTTCTTGCACGAATCTAAAAGAATTCTGAAAACATTAGAAAGTTAGATAAATCATATAATTGATCAACAATATATATAAATAGATTGCAAGTGAAAAAAAAAGGAAAAAATGATTATCAACTTAAATAGAAATTTAATATCAATGTAATTTCTTTTTTTTCGTATCATATAAATAAATAATGTAAAAGTAAAAGTGTAGTTATTACTGCTTTTTGATTTTCTAACCTCTAATCAATAGTAGCCCGTGGAGGCCTGGGGGCCCACGAGCAAGAAGTCCACCATTCAAGATATAGAAAATATGATGGCTATTTTATCAAAATCTCTGTTTCAGGAGTTGGTGGCCATCCATTAATTTATATAATATGTGGTGTTATGACAACTAACGAAAATATTTTGATCAATTCCAATAGGATTACATTTACCAACTAGGATTCTCATTTAAATTAGTGAAATCCACATGAACTATTAGCTTCTCCTAACCAAGAATGCCACCTCCTCTCATCAAAGTTGACATTGAATTTGATCCTAAGAATCTATTTAGCATTGAGTTGGCACCTACTACACATTATTTGATTTCCCCCCCCAAGCAACGACAAATTCAGATGTACATGTATTTTCACAAAATTATAGAAACATTTTCTATATCTCAAGGAGTAGGTGATGAAGCTTATCATGTTGAGGCCAGCGTAGAAAAGTATAAGTCAAGGCTTTATTTGTGAGCATATGATAGTTGGTTTTCTCTCGTTTCCTCTCAACAAGCAGCTAACTTGCCTACTTTTATTTGGAGAAATAGACCTGTGAACTTCGGAGGAGAAGTTTGGACATCGCTTTTGTTGTGACGTTCTCAGCCAACCTAACTCTTTTTTAAAAGGCCATCATATATTTTGAATTTACAACTTCTTTGTTCTTGTACTTTTTTATTAGATGTGGTAGCCCAATCTATATCCAAACTTATGTTACTTTTATTGTTATTTTCATTATTACTTGGCAAAATCCATTTGGAGCAAAAAATCATTTGTCGTTCCGTCCTTTACCAGCGAAAAACTCAAATTTCTGGGGAGTTTTGTGAAACACCGAATTTACCTTAAAACAACTCAGGTTTCGGCTTTGCAACAAGAAAAGCCCAAGACCTCAACAAACACAGGAAGCACCACTTTTGAGTACAATCTGTACAAACCTCAACAAACAAAAACATTCTTTTGGCTAAATCCAACAATAAGAAATAATCAATATCAACTCACTAACAAGATCAATAATTCAGAATCTCCCAACTCTCCTTCATATACCATGGTACCGGAGCAACCAAATCAAGCACATCGATCTTTGACAAATCAAGATTCGTCGATGACTCCAACTGTTGCATAGCACTGGCGATATTTGGCAAGGTCATCTCTCTACAGTGCAGATGCATCCGAGGTTCCTTATCAGAGATGCTTCCACCTTGCGATTCTAAACCAAAAGGAAGCATTTCGTGCTCGAATTCTGACTGCAAACTGGGCACAGGTTCCAAGTTTCGATGTGCTTTCCATCCATACTTGTAGTCTCCGACAATTGGAGTTCCTAGAGCTTCAGCACAGTGAACTCGGAGCTATATTTTAACGATAAAATTTAAATTATTGAAAAAAATGTTAGATATTATTGTTCACAGAGAACTTAAAAATTTGATGCATGAATGAAGTTTGCTTTGGTTTTAATTACCTGATGCTTCCTTCCAGTAAGAGGGTGAAGCTCTAGCCAGGAATAACCTACTCAAATAAGCAAGATTGTTATTATTATTTTTTAATGTATAGAACAAAAATTCTTATATTTCCCATCAAAGTTGAGCCAGCTATGAGCATGCAAGTCAAGAATTCTCCGATGAAGAATCATACTAATACTAACTCTACTAATAATTTAATACTATTTTGACGCCATGAAACTTAAACAACTTTCCTCTTTGTGAGGAAGGGCTCTAAGTACTTGTATCTTACAGTAAAAAGTGATATGAGATTAAAAAGTGCAATTAGCATTGCTCTAAGGATTAACAACAGGTCGATGGATAAGAGACTTGCGGTAAATAATTTGGTCATTCATAGAGCTTCTCAAATTTAAGTTGAAGCGTCACGATAGCAAGAATCAATTTTCATGGGAAAAAAGGCTGGAATGTTGACCATGATGGCCTCAGCTTGACTACTAACCGTTAGCAGATCTTATCACTTTATATTCAGTCAAAGCATGCTGCGAGGGTGTGGATACATCTCTAGCAATGGTGATCCTGTCAGATTTCCCATCTTCCAATACAATCTGAAAACGATCGCGGAATGTAACATAAAGTAATTTAGAACTTATCTCAACAAAACAAATCAAGACCTAGATAATATTTTGATGAAAAGATCAGGAGAACCAAAAGCAGACCAACCTTTGCAAGAGGGGCAGATATTAGTCCCTTCAAAAGCCTCGGAATTCCAATAACAAGTGCCCAGTACTTCTTCTGCAATACTTTTTGTACATCATTGACATCCTTGAGACAAAATATCAATAGCAATAAAGATTCTTTCATTACATGTTTCAAGCAAAAACATCAGAACTTATTATAATTCCAACTAGCCTCGAACAAAAGTAAGATATATCACTTACATTGGACTCAACTTCAGATGTTTTATCACGGAAAATGGAATGCAGAATTGCAGCACTGGTTTGAGTCCTACCCAAAACGAGAACCCCACTGCTTTCTCTGTCTAGCCTGTGTACCTAATATCACAAAAGAATTTATCGCAGTGCATAATAAAAGTAGAAATTCACCCACACTTTACGTGCAATATAAACTATATTCTAATGAATGTAATCAATATGATATTAACTCCATAAAATATATCCACTGTTACAAGTTTGCTGAAAGTTTTCAATGGAAAATCTGCAGATTTTATGATCCTTCAATACTGTCAACCACACGTCGGACTGGTCGTAAGTTTTAACATTTACTCAAAAGGATATCTAGTTAATTCCAAGGTAAAAGAGAATGTTATAGCTACATAAACGTGCAAAGTTTTTTTTTTCTGAAATCAGCAACCAGTAATTCTAACAGGATGAAATATATTTCTGATGAAATTCTAATCTTCGCAGTCGAATAAAAAATTACAGGGTCTAAAATGGATAGAATAGATACACTAAAAACCCATAAAGTTTGGACAAAAAAAACTCACCAGTCGAGGCGGTTCCGAATAATCATATTTCAAGGCCATGGCAGCTAATGCATCTACACTGTATTTGATGCCAACACCGCCCTATATGACAATTATAATCAAATAAGAACTTCATAGAGGATAAATAGAGAAACCATTAAGATTCAAAAACAATTACCTGGACAGGCAGTCCAGGAGGCTTGTTGAGCACAATGATGTCCGGATCCTGAACTTAAATACAACTATTAAACCTATGGTCATGGGAAAATCTATAAAAGTTGAAATGAACTTCAACAACCTTATATAATACAAGGCTCCGCATGAATTTAACTTCATCCTCATTGCTAGACGAATCTTTAGTTTCAGGTACAAGCTCTTGGACAGTAATAGGTAAAAGGATGACATCCCCTGAATCCAGTGTATCTTTTGCTGAGACCTTCCAGAAGGTAATAGCTTCAAGAGATTAGTACTCTCAAGAAATAAATCAGACCTAATTATTGTGGGAATTTGGTAGCAAATGTCACAGGTCAAGATACGAACAGCATGGTCGTTACCCTTTTAATTTTTTTCTGTTTGACTTCTTCTTCTGTGAAAAGTTGGTTCGAATTAGCGAGCTCCTTGCGAACCTGTTGCAGTATAAAACTGAGCAAAAAACAGCACAAATCTCCGATATAAACCAAGAAAAAAAAATTAAATACGTACAAAAGAATCAGCCACCTCTTTAAATTGATCATTTATCATGAGTAAATTGGAGATTACATGATGCGCATCCTCATTGTAACAAAGAAGAAGATAAAAACTACAAGAAAGAGAGATTTGGAACGAATTGATTTCCTACTAATCTTCAAGAAATCTATACCACCCTACTTTCAGTTACACAACCACAGAAAAAGCACAAAGCTGCTTACTCTTTAACAACAGAATTTCTCACACCTTATCACTCACATTTTTAGAAAAGTCTTTTATATAAATCATATAACTACAAATAATTACATAGATATAACTGGAACTGCACATGGTTCAAACTCAATCTAAAACCGACGTGGACTCCGTGACCGCATCTACATGCAGAACACAAAACAAACTCCAACATTCATTAACTGCTAAGGTGTTCCAAGATACAACTTAAGTTCAGTAGCAACACCTGAAACTTCTTTTTCATGATCAGTACCGAACGCACACTAAATATAGTAACAACTAACAGGTATTCTTATGTGAGCACCTGAATCGACATTGTTCAGGCATGAAATTAGTGAATGCGACATATTAGCAAATATCTACATGTACTAAAACCAGTACCAATAAAACTAAAACTACGCAATTAATTCAGTAAATTATCAATGGTATAATTTAAGCAAAATTAAAAAAAATGACCCAGGAACCAAATTTCTATTCAGGCATTTAAACAAACAGATGGCGCGCAAAAGCTCACCTGTCTCAACCTGAAGAGCTTTTGAACGAGAGACATTGGCAGCTGAGGGCAGCAGCGGCGAACCCACTTCAGGGCTGTAATGGGTTCTCCTCTCCCTATCGGGTTTCGACCCGCGATCTCTCTGCCGATAGAGGAAGCGTCCATTTGAGGCGAGAAAGGAGGCAGCGTGACCCATTTGTGGAAATTATCTTGGCCGGCTTGTTCTCGATCTTGCGAAGTAGTAGCGCTGTAGAGAGAGCGTAGAACTTGAAAGGTTGAAGACGAAGTTTGGGAGCGGGTCCAGAGCTGACGCCTGCAGGGTCGGAGGCTGGCCATTCTTGTTGCTCGAATGAACCGCCCTCGGTAAACTTTATATAGTGGGCTATTTGCACTTGAACACCCTAAAGTTTACATTGTTTAACTTTGATATCCCTAAGTTTTTATTTGGGTACGTAAAGTTTACACCCTTCAGGCTTTGATACCCTAAAGCTTTTCTCTGACAATTTGATACCCAAAAGTTCACACATTCTTTACTTTCGATACACCAGACTTTGGGGTGTCGAAAACAAAAGCTTGAGGCGTCAAAAAATATCAAAAAACGTGTAAAACTTTGGGGTATTAAAGTGTCAGCAAAAACTTGGGATATCAGAGGGAAAGAAAGGTGTAAACTTTCAAGTATAAAAACGTCGGGGGAAACTTTGAAATTTCAAAGTTAAAAATATTGTGAACTTTAGCGTGCGTAAGCGCAAATAATACTTCTGTAAATAGTTAATAAATCTTGCACCCGTGAAAAATAGAAAGCGTTTTGGGCTCACGGGCTCATAGCCATGGCCCATGACTTCACTCAAATGGATGGATGCTTCTGGGCTTTCAGTCCATATTCACAATCCTACCGGTTTTGCTCATTAATTCATATAAAGTCAATGCTTAAGATTAGGTATACTTTGTTATTATTAGACAATTAAAAAAAAAGGGAGGGGGGGATTAAGGAGACCTAGTTGCTTCGCGCAGGTACTCCATGATTAAGAATAAGATAGACTAAAAAATTTTACTCAAAAAAAAAAAAGACAAAAAAAAAATCAGCAGTTATTACCTTTAAACTTTTATCTAAATCCATTAATTTTCCTAATTATTAATTTCAGATATGAGATTATACTTCCACACAAACCCCAATAAAACCAATCGCAACGAAATAGAAAGAATCATTAAAATAATCAACACAGTTGCACTTTTCTCTTCTAGGACAATGTTTATGCGACTACACTCCGCGGACCAACAAATCTATTTCTATTTTATTTTCTTTTTGTTTGGAGTTGCAGATTTCATCCTTAGGATTAATGTTTGTTATTATATATAACTTTATTATTTTTTATTTTCTTTAGTTTACGCAACATAAAACCAAATGACCCGTCCGCAAAGTATCGGCGTTCGATAAAATAGTCCCTGATGGCGAGAGAAAAAAAGAAAAAGAAAAAGGTATTCCATATAAAATCAAAGAATTATTAAAACAATCAATACAACAACCAATTTGCAGTTTACATACACACACGCTACATAACTTGATCTAGCCAGGGGGGGAAAAAATAAAAGGAAAAAGCAAAAGTTTCCCTTTTCCAATTCACGTACATGTTCACAATAAGCCAACAAATTAAGTATAAAACTAGCCTTTAAATCTTGCACCAGAACTTGTAGTAATCACCGCAGCTTTCACTTTTAATGGCCAACACCAGGACTCGGCCCTGAGTTCTTGATCGCCCCAAGAGCTAAAGAGTCCATGAAAGCACTCAATTCATCCTTCACAAATCTCCCAATCCCTTGACCACCCGAGCTCGAGCTCGAGCTCGAGCTCTCCAAAATATTCATCAACAGCCTAGACTCTCCTGATGAGATCAAGATGCACACAAGCAGCAAGACAGCGAGAAGCGAGTTGAAGAACTTTGGGCTTGAATCCATACGATTCATTCCTTAATTTTTTTTTTTGCCCCCCGAAGAATAATTACTTTGGTTACTCTATTGGGTCTGGGACTATATATATATGTGTGTAGAGTCTGGAGTTATGAGGTGGGGGGGTGAGACTTCGGGAGAGTCTGACCGCAGCCCTGTTTAATTTGAAACACGTTGAGGTATCGTTGAGGAAAGCTGGTAGAAATTACGAGAGAGGACTAAAGTTTGATGAGTCAAATACGGTTAAGAAATTGACATGAGAGTGAGAAAGATGGAAGGATTATTCGCTTGTCTACATTTTGAATGATATGCAGCGTGCTTTTTTTGAGTACCCGAGATCTTGGGGAGTCTTAATTAAGCTCGGACTTGTGTGAATTGAATGAAAATTTCATTTGGAGAAATAACCTGCAGGCGGTCTAATCTTTTTCTTTAAACAGCATATGTATATCAAATGAATATGTATTCACTGTACATCTTTTTTTGTACGTCAAACATGATGTTTCTTGGAGGACGAAATGATATGGAACTGTTTGTGGACTTATGATTTTAATTCCATTTGAAGGCTGCAATCCCACTCATAATTAGCAAAATTCTGTCTCAGATAAGAAAAATATTCATTTTTTAGAATACAACTCCGAAAATGAACTGGATGATCTGTAGAAATTGGCAGTTGATGGCTCAGAACAGACACTTGACAGGTTGGCGGTCGACCGTGGCGGTCGACCGTGTTCGTGCACAGAAGGCACTGTGCGTCTAGATTAGTGGCGGTCGACCGCGGCGGTCGACCGCTTGAGCAGATTGTGAGGGTTTTCTTTGGGCTTCTATTCTAGAAGCAATTGGAGAGATTGAGAGTTGATTTATTGAGGGTTTATGAGAAATTTGTAACCCTAGTTTGTTCCTCTTGATTTCTAATAGTGAAAACTCCCTCCTCCTTGCCCCGTGGACGTAGGCATCTCGCCGAACCACGTTAAAACTGATGTTATTGTGTTTGTGCTATTGTTTGGTGTGTTGGTTCATCTCTCTCGGCTATTTGGTTGGATCTCGGCATAGGGGATTCTCCCCAATAAGTGGTATCAGAGCACCGGGCAACGCTTGAGTTTTTTTGGAGGTGTAGATCAGTTGGGAAGTTCATCTAGAGATTCAATTGGTGATAAAGGTGGGATCTTTGTGGTAAAGTTTCTATATTTTTCAAGTTGGATCTATTTCTTATTTGTTCCGCAATTGTTTGGGTGCTTTGATATATATGGCCGGGAAAGATAAAAGTGGTGAGGGTTCTTCTAGTTTGAAGACCGTCCAAAGTTTGAATATCCATTCTATGAAGATAGATGTGGAAAAGTTCGATGACACAAATAATTTTGGACTTTGGAGATGCGAAGTCTCGAATGCGCTAAATGCGCAAAATTTGGAAGATACGTTGGAGTTGGACGGGAAACCGGACGACATTGATGAGAATGTTTGGAAGAAAATGAATAGAACGGTGTGTGGTGTGATTAGGTCTTGTCTTACCCAAGATCTAAAATATGATGTGATGAATGAGACTTCGGCAAAGAAGATTTGGGAGGTCCTAAAGGGCAAGTATTTGACGAAGAGCATCAAAAATCGTTTGCATTTGAAGAGGAGGCTTTATCGCTTCCAATTGAAGAAGGGGACATCCATTAGTGATCACATGAACCACTACACGAAGCTATTTACAGATTTGGCGAATGTAGATGTTATAGTTGAAGATGAGGACAAGGCATTGTTGTTATTGAGTTCCTTGCTCGACGAGGAATATGAGACCTTCGTCCTCACTCTTATTAATGGGAAGGCATCTCTTTCATATAGTGAGGTCACTGCGGCTCTTGTGAATTATCAACTTCGAAAGAAGGACAATGAGACTTCCATTGAGCCAGTTGCGGGGGCATTGGTTGTAAGAGTTAGAAGTCCAAACCGTGGTAGGAGGTCACAGTCTAGAGGGGGGCATCCTGCAGTTGGTAGGAATCAGTGTGTGTTTTGTAGAGAGGATGGATATTAGAAAACCGAATGTCCAAAATTGCAAGCTGGGAAGAATAAAGGGGAAAACTATTCGAGCTTCAGAGTTGAATGTTGTCAATGCTAGTGGCGACGTTTCAGATTCAGATTCTTTGGGCTATTCATGCCCAGCTCTTTTGTCAGTTGGTGTGACCGACTCCACCGAGTGGATGTTGGATTCGGGTGCTACTTACCACATATGCCCTAGGAGGGATTGGTTCTCCAGCTTTCAGGAGTTGGAAAGAGGGGATGCTATACTTATGGGTAATGATCACAGGTGCCCTATTGGTGGTATTGATATCGTTCGAATTCGGATGAGTGACGGGATGATTCAGGAGTTGGTTGATGTGAGGTTCGTTCCTCAACTGAGGAAGAACATCATTTCACTTGGGGTATTGGAGGCAGCAGGCTATAGGATGACCTTGGCAGATTCTCGCTTGAAGGTCACATTGGGATCCATGATTGTGATGAAGGGCATCAGGAGGAGTAACTTGTATTATTTGCTTGGGAGCACGGTGATTGATAGAGCGCTGACGACTTCTTTGGCTAGACTATGACATTGTTTGGTGCTGGGGTATATTATTAGTTATACCGTGCATAGATTAATGAGGAGTGCTATGACCTGTAGATTAAAGTCCTTTAAACACAATGAGATGAGCAAGAAGACCGAGGTGGAGTTGGGCACTTCTACCCACCGATCAAGGGGTCTTATTAGAGGTGTTCAGTCAGGCATTGGGGGGCCTTCCATAGAGGCATCATTGGGAGGTAATCGATATTTTGTTTTCTATGTTGGGGATTGTACTAGGCATATATGGGTTGCAACCAAGTCCCTTTGGTATGAAGCCCTAGTAGTCCGCAACAGTTGGAGGAGGTGTATGGACAGAGAGGTTACCCATCGTACTAATTCTAGTAGGGGTTCTTTCTTGCATTGGTGCCAAGCTCATGGTAGTTGGAGACAGTTCAGAGGAGAGCAGACAGTAGGGTGACGAGATGAGATGGCAGATTTAGTGGGCCGTTCTTTTCTGGAGGAGAATCGGCGTTGATTGTCGAGCAGTGGATCTGGTATTCAGGCTCCGACAGGTTTGGGCCATCTTATGAGGTTGTCGACTATTGCGTTAGATATTATTAGATCTGGTGGAGCTGCTTCAGATTTTGGTTGGTGTCTGATATTAGGCTACCCAGCATGTGGCCACATCGTGGATGTGAGATTGGATCTGATTGCGCATTTGGGATTCAAAGGCTCTTTTGGCTATTAGTTGAGGGCTTCTGAGTTTGGTCTGAGCAGGTATATTACTTTGGACTCTCGGCAGGTAGAGAGTATTGATCAGATCAGTGGGATATCGCAGCTGGTGGAGGTTGATGCTACTCCACATCGGGTGGAGCTTATTCCACATACTCCAG